CTGTTCCCTCTTCCTGAAGGGTTTTTCCACAGATATCATCAACTTCCAAAGCTTTTCCCAAATGTTACCTTCTCATTGAGGACTTAACAACCACATTGACAGTCACAACCGTAACTCCTTCCTACCATCTTTCATACCTACTTTACCTGGTCTCTTTCTTCTCTCATAACTCCTAACACATGCCTTACGTGGTGGGGACAAGTTGTGCTTGTTATGTGCTGTTTCTGCCTCCTCTCTGGAACATAAGCTCCATGAGGGCAGGGATCTTCATCTTGTTTGTTCAATGATGTATGGTAAACACCTAAAACAGTGTCTGAGTGATAAGAGGAGCTCAATAAATATTTCCCAACAAAATGGGCTCAACACAATTCTGGACTAATTGAAAGGACAATGGAAGCGGTCATTCACCTAAAATAACAACTCATGGCATCTGTAATATAATGAGGTGATTCTCAACACTCTCCCCTCCCTCACTCCGGCCCCTGGCATGGGTCATTCGAACGTTTCTGAGACATTTCTGGTTGTTGCACTTCATAGTGACACTGCTCTCTAGTGCAGAGAGACAAAAGACACTGCCAAACACTCAACAATGCATAGGACAGCACTCCCACGACAAAGAATTGTATGCGCCAAATGTTAACTCATTGAGGTTGAGCAACTCTGGTTTACATTGAAATTTTGAGAGACCCAGAAAGCAGGAACAGGATATACAGGAACTAAATATTGAAAGAACCATTAAATCTCGCTATCTTGCACCCAAGGTTTCCTTTCAGTGAGTCTTTCCTTATGTCACGTATGTAATAGAATCATGGGCAATACTATTCAATCCTGCTACAGGGTGTTTACATGGCAAACCATTTAATCCTGCTACATGGTGTTTACTTTGTAAACTGCTCAGTTTAACAAGGTAAAACTGAGTTAAAAGAAATCTAACAATATTTCCATATTCACTCAGCCAGCTAGCAGAAGAATCATAGTGTTGTTTTAAAATCCAAGAACAAACAATAAAAAAAATTAAGACCTAAATAAATACACGAAAATTGCACTAATAAATAAGACACCCACAAGCTGGGATATCTTGTGTATGAGAATATATATTTTTTGACAGGCAGAGTTAGACAGTGAGAGAGAGAGAGAGACAGAGAGAAAGGTCTTCCTTTACCATGGGGTCACCCCCCCCAAAATGGCCACTATGGCCGGCACACTGTGGCAATCCAAAGCCAGGAGCCAGGTGCTTCCTCCTGGTCTCCCATGTGGGTGCAGGGCCCAAGGACTCGGGCCATTCTCCACTGCCTTCCTGGGCCACAGCAGAGAGCTGGACTGGAAGAGGAGCAACCGGGACACAACTGGTACCCCAACCAGGACTAGAACCCAGGGTACCAGTGCTGCAGGCGGAGGATTAGCCTAGTGAGCCGTGACACCAGCCCAAGAATATTTTTAACAGTGTACTTTCTAGAAAACAATCCTAGACTATTAAATTGTTTTGTAAGATTTTTAAAAAATTTATTTCAAATGCAGAGTGGGCATCTCATGGGGGTGGAAAGGTCTCAAATACTTGAGCCATCATCTGCTGCCCCCAAGCATATTAGCAGGGAGCTAGATTGGAAGCAGAGTTGCCAAAAATTGAACCAACACCCAATATGTGATGTAAACATACCAAGCCGTGGCTTAACCCACTACACCACCACACCCACCACCTCATCCTCCATGAGACCTTTAACATACCTGCTGATGTGTTTAAATTTTAACTGAAAAGTGATCCCGGCTAGCAATTTGGAAAACATTATGCTGAGTGAAATAAGCAGGCCCAAAGGGACAAATATCATATGTTCTCCCTGATTGGTGACAACTAACTGAGCACCAAAAAGGAAACATGTTAAAGTGAAATGAACACTATCAGAAATGGTGACTTGATCAGCTCTTGCCCTGACTGTTGATGAACAACTTAATATGTTATCCCTCTTAGTATTTTTTTTATTTGTTCTACTTAATACTTTTGGTTGAATACTGTAATCAATACACAGTTATTCTTAGGTGTTGAAACTTAACTGAGAAGTGATCGCTGTTAAATATAAGAGTGGGAATAAGAGAGGGAGGAGATGTGCAATTCGGGACATGCTCAAGCTGACTTGCCCCAACGGTAGAGTTAGAAACATACCAGGGGTTTCCAATTCAATCCCATCAAAGTGGCATGTACCAATGCCATCTCACTAGTCCAAGTGATCAATTTCAGTTCACAATTGATCATAATGATAGGACTAAGAACCAAAGGGATCACATAAAGAAGACTAGTGTCTGCAAATACTAGCTGATAGAATAAAAAAGGGAGAGAACGATCCAACATGGGAAGTGAGATACACAGCAGACCCATAGAATGGCAGATGTCCTAAACAGCACTCTGGCCTCAGAATCAGCCCTTAAGGTATGCGGATCCAGCTGAAAAGCCCATGAGAGTATTTCAGGCATGGAAAGCCAAGAAACTCTGGCAAAAAAAAAAAAAATGACCTAAATGAAAGATCTCTGCAAGTGAGATCCCAGTGAAAAGAACAGGTCATCAAAGAAGGAGGTACCTTTCTCTGAAGGGAGGAGAGAACTTCCACTTTGACTATGACCTTGGCCAAATATGATCAGAGTCGGTGAACTCAAAAGGCTTGCATAGCCTTGGCAACTCATGACAAGAGCCTAGGGTGATTACTGATGTCATAAACAAGAGTGTCAATTTATTAAGTCAACAACAGGAGTCACTGTGCACTTACTCCTCATGTAGGATCTCTGTCCTTAATGTGAAATCTTTACTTAATATATGCTAAACTGATCTTCTGTATATAAAGAGAATTGAAAATGAATCTTGATGTGAATGGAAGAGGAGAGAGAGTGGGAAAGGAGAGGGTTGCAGGTGGGAGGGAAGTGTGGGGGGGGGGAGCCATTGTAATCCATAAGCTGTACTTTGGAAATTTATATTCATTAAATAAAAGTTAAAAATTTTTAAAAAAAAGAATTGTAAAAAAAAAAAAAGTAATTTCGCCTCTATCACAACAATAAGAAAATTGGTAATAAAACAACTTCCAAAAAGAGCTGAAATTCCCTCTTCTTTCAACTACCCCTTCCTCTTTTGACCAACAAGAAAAACACACATATAACTTATTAATTATCTGTACCTGAGAAAGGAACACTCAAAAGCTAAGCAAAAGTGTGAACCTAATGTACTGTTGGATGAAAAGCAATGATCCATAAGAGCTAACCCATGCAGCTATCAAGAGCCAACTGCAACATCTCTTCCCACTTCCGGTAGCTTGCAGTCAACTATCAATGGTATACTCACACCATGGAAATTGGCAGATTTTACAAATATGGTTTCTCCTGCTGCCCTCCCCCAAGATGTATTATTAAATATTTGATGGCATATCACTACTTATATCTAATATGGTATAATGTGGTCTGTAGGACATTGATTCTGCAGGTACAATTTTCAAAGAACTCTCTTTAGTCCCAAAGGTCGCCACTGTAAATAGGGGAGTCCCTACTTGAGGATGCCAACTTGGATTTTCAAGTTAGAGGGCCAGGATTTGAATACACATCTTGAATAAATTACCCACTTTCTCTTAAATCCTTTTTTCTTCATTTCCTAAAATTCAGGTATTAAATGCCTAAAAAGGAATTGTTTATAAGCATTAAATGAAGTTTCTATGTAAAACTAACTTCAGAGGCTGGCAGATGACAGATACTTGATGAAATACCTAACTACTTTTCTTATGTGCTTGTCCAAAAATAGAAAGGATTGCTGGGGTGTTGAGACATGCTAAACATGAGACACATATATTTGGCATCTTTAGCAGATGTGGAAAGATCTCAAGGCTTCTTTCATGTGTATGAAAGTATAGCTTTTGGAGGGGGGAAAGCCACAACAATACAAAAGTTGAACTTTGTAAATTCACATTTATTAAATAATTTTTTTGTTTTTATTTTTTATTTAGTAAATATAAATTTTCAAAGTAGAGTTTATGGATTACAATGGCTTCACCCCCCCCATAATTTCCCTCCCACTCACATCACTCCCATCTCCTGCTCCCTCTCCCATTCCATTCACATCAAGATTCATTTTCAATTTTCTTTATATACAGAAGATCAATTCAGTATATATTAAGTAAAGCTTTCATCAGTTTGCATCCACACAGAAACACAAAGTGTAAAATACTGTTTCAGTACTAGTTATAGTATTACTTCACATTGGACAACACATTAAGGACAGATCCCACATGAGAAGTAAGTACACAGTGACTCCTGTTGTTGACTTAACAATTTGACACTCTTGTTTATGGCGTCAGTAATCTCCCTAGGCTGTAGTCATGAGTTGCCAAGGCTATGCAAGCCTTTTGAGTTCACCGACTTCAATCTTATTCCGACAGGGTCATAGTCAAAGTGGAAGTTCTCTCCTCCCTTCAGAGAAAGGTACCTCCTTCTTTGATGGCCCCGTTCTTTCCACTGGGATCTCACTTGCAGAGATCTTCCATTTAGGTTTGGTTTTGTTTGTTTGTTTGTTTGTTTGTTTTTGCCAGAGTTTCTTGGCTTTCCATGCCTAAAATACTCTCATGGGGTCTTCAGCCAGATCCGAATGCCTTAAGGGCTGATTCTGAGGCCAGAGTGCTGTTTAGGACATCTGCCATTCTATGATTCTACTGTGTATCTCGATTCCCATGATGGATCATTCTCTCCCTTTTTGATTCTATCAGCTAGTATTAGCAGACACTAGTTTTGTTTGTGTGATCCCTTTGACTCTTAGACCTATCAGTGTGATCAATTGTGAACTGAAATTGATCACTTGGACTAGTGAGATGGCATTGGTACATGCCACCTTGATGGGATTGAATTGGGATCCCCTGGCATGATTCTAACTCCACTATTTGGGGCAAGTCCGATTGAGCATGTCCCAAATTGTACATCTCCTCCCTCTCTTATTCCCACTCTTATATTTAACAGGGATCACTTTTCAGTTAAAATTTAAACACCTGAGAATAATTGTGTGTTAATTACAGAGTTCAACCAATAGTACTAGAACAAAACAAAGAGAAAATACCAAAATGGATAAAGTATTACATTGTACATCAACAGGACAAGAGCTGATCAAGTCACTGTTTCTCATAGTGTCCATTTCACTTCAACAGGTTTCCCCTTTGGTGCTCAGTTAGTTGTCGCCGATCAGGGAGAACATATGATATTTGTCCCTTTGGGACTGGCTTAATTCACTCAGCATAATGTTTTCCAGATTCTTCCATCTTGTTACAAATGACCAGATTTCATTGTTTTTGACTGCTGTATAGTATTCTATAGAGTACATGTCCTATAATTCCTTTTTCTAGTCTACTGTTGATGGGCATTTGGGTTGGTTCCAGGTCTTAGCTATTGTGAATTGAGCTGCAATAAACATTGAGGTGCAGACAGCTTGTTTGTTTGCCAATTTCATTTCCTTTGGGTAAATTCCAAGGAGTGGGATGGCTGGATTGTATGGTAGGGTTATATTCAGGTTTCTGAGGAATCTCCAGACTGAATTCCATAGCGGCTTAACCAGTTTGCATTCCCACCAACAGTGGGTTAGTGTCCCTTTTTCCCTACATCCTCTCCAGCATGTGTTGTTGGTAGATTTCTGAATGTGAGCCATTCTAACTGGGGTGAGGTGAAACCTCATTGAGGTTTTGATTTGCATTTCCCTGATTGCTAGTGATCTTGAACATTTTTTCATGTGCCTGTTGGCCATTTGGATTTCCTTTTTTGAAAAATGTCTATTGAGGTCCTTGGCCCATCTCTTTAGTGGGTGGTTTGTTTTGATGTTGTGGAGTTTCTTGATCTCATTGTAGATTCTGGTTATCAACCCTTTATCTGTTGCGTAGTTTGCAAATATTTTTTCCCATTCTGTTGGTTGCCTCTTCACTTTCCTGTTTCTTTTGAAGTAGAGAAACTTCTCAATTTGATGCAATCCCAAATGTTAATTTTGGCTTTGACTGCCTGTACTTCTGGGGTCTTTTCTAAGAAGTCTTTGCCGGTACCTATATCTTGCAGAGTTTCTCCAATGCTCTAATAATTTGATGGTGTCGGGTCGTAGATTTAAGTCTTTAATCCATGTTGAGTGAATTTTTGTGTAAGGAGAAAGGTAGGGGTCTTGCTTCATGGTTCTGCACGTGGAAATCCAGTTTTCCCAGCACCATTTATTGAATAGACTGTCCTTGCTCCAGGAATTGGTTTTAGATCCTTGGTCAAATATAAGTTGGCTGTAGATGTTTGGATTGATTTCTGGTGTTTCTATTCTGTTCCATTGGTCTATCCATCTGTTTCTGTACCAGTACCATGCTGTTTTGATAACAACTGCCCTGTAGTATTAAATAATAAAAAGAAAAAATCAAAAAAAAGAAAGTATAGCTGTTGAATAGAGACTGAAAGACAATTGAACTATATGTACCAAATATTTGTACTGTTATAATTAAAAATTAACAGGGTAATTAATCAGAACTCCTCATCCTTTATATAATTAAACAAATTGTTGAACCTCTGTGCCTTGTTTCCCATCTATACAAGCATGAATGTTCCACTGAGAAGCTTAAAGACTAGGCTCCCATTTAAGGAGTGGTCTCACAAAGGAAGAGGACTCAGACATGGTTCCCAAGTAGGTACTACTGCTGTGGAGTTCCTGGGTTCCAGGTCCTGGTTCTTAGCATTTCAGACTCACAAATTTCTTTTATGAGCTCATGTGAATGGTTAATGCAAGGAAATTTATTCAGGCAAACTAAAATTGCAGGAGTCTGTTCTATAAGCCAGAAAGCCAATTATTAAATTACAATCTCAGAAATAATGGCAAATAAAGTGTTTGGACATTTGTTCAGAGTGCCCTTTCCTGGCGTACCAGTTCACTTCAGAGACTAATCGCAATTCAGAATCAGAATGGGAGAGTTGAATTGTCATCAGTATAGGATAACTGTGTGAATTAGGTTGCTTCTCTTCACACTGGGGATGCTTTTCCCCAGTGATCAATACCAGCTTCTTGGACCTAGGGCATCTCTCCTGTACTAACCTGAGCACTATTTCCTTTCCTATACATCCCTTCTTTTTCTTTTAATTTCTGAATGGATTGCAGTCATTCCTTTTATCATACAGTCACAATCTGATATAATCAACTAATGTATTTCTTTAGTTACATCTCAGGCAATGAAATATACTCTAATCATTCTGGTTAACCTGGGCATCCTAATGCATCAATTTACAAATTATCTCTTAGGGAGTTTCTTCATAGAAATCTACTGTGCAGAGTTTTAGAATACTTGTGTTGGGATCAGACTTGGCATTAGCAACTTTAGGCAAGTTAATTAACTTCTCTTAGCCTCAAAATTTTCCTCTGTGGCAGTGATGGCTCAAGTAATTGGGTTCCTGGCACCCACATGAGAGATTTGGATTTAGTTCCAGGCTCCCGGCTTCAGCTTTGGATTAGCCCAAATCGTTGCGGGCATTTGGGGAGTGAACCAGTGAATGGAAATTATGTCTCTTTATATCTTCCTGCCTCTCTTCCTCTCCAATTAGTAAATAAATATTTTTAAATCCTCCTCTTCCATAAAAATAATAACTACTTTTCAAGTTTGTTGAAAGGATAAATGAGTAATATTTATAAAATTGAATGTTTGGCCCAAAGTAAGGGCTTGACAATTAAAAAGATACAGTCATCAATAATCTCAAACATTTTAGACTGTGGTTCTGCCAATATCAGTCTTCCAAATTGGGTTTCATATTCCTGTGTCTCAAAATAGGGGCGGTCCCTACGTAGCCCTTTCTGTCTGGACTGCATATTTCTGCATTAACTGTATGTAAGTAAACAGATGTACAAAGGCAGAGGCAGGTGAACTTCCAAAGGCAATATACTCTTCACAAAGTTGAACCCAATGAACTGTCTGTGCACAAGCTGATAACTAATTACAGCTCTTTGCTTTGCCAGTTTCGGCAATGCATTTTGATGTTTCCTCACACTGCAAATGTTACTCTGTTGAACCCATCGGTTCATGAAAACAAGTTCAGTATCCTCTATGTCATATTTAATATAAATCAGCTGTACCATGAAATTCTGTTTTGTTTAAGCTCAAGATACTTACCAGTGTGGACCAGGCACACTTCATCCTTTTAACTCCCAGACCATTTTTCATTATATTTCTTTGTTAGAAGGATCTGGTTGTGTATAATTAAATGTGGCTTTCTTAAACCTTTGCAGTTGGTAGCTTAGTGTATTTTTGTTTTATTTCAAGTACAAAGGCTACATTATGCTTTTGTTGGCATCAATACTAGTTAGTATGCCAGCTACATAATTTTGTTCTCTGCAATATGTCAGCATTTGAGTGCCTTGGGCTCAACAGGTGGTGCTAGATAAGGTTCTGGCAAATCAAATAGGTAACGCAGTTATTTCTTTTGTCAAATTATAATTAAAAACAGAATCCGTGTAAAGTGAGACTTACATTTTCCTGTTTTAAAAAGAGTTCAACATCCAGTACAAATCAGTTTCTATAACAAAGGCCCATTAGTAAGGAAGCATACCGTCTGCATAAATACGTGACACCTTCTGATCTGCAATTTCATTGCTCTCTGCACAGTTTACTTTGTAAACCTGAAGTGCAGGCATTGCTATATAAGGTACTGAGTTTTCCAAGCATCTGTAATTCGGGAGTAAAATTTTTGGCATGGCCTGAAGTTCAAACAGGAAATCTAAACATTCTTATCCACTACCATATAGAATATCAAGAAACTTGCTGAACACTTAAATCATCTGCTTTGAAAAATTTCCTGTGCATGCTATGGTATCCTACTTGCCATTTATAGAAGAGGTGAGGCCAGTGCTTCCATAATTAAGAAATCATCAAGACCCTTACCCTACCTGGGTTAGGATACCTCTCCCATAATCGAATATCCAGTCATTTGGCTGGGTGCAGCACTGCCCCATGTAGACTGGGACAGTGAGAGCTGTATGTACCTGATTATGTCTCATAGTTCTCCACAATGAAAGGAGACCTCTGTGCTGCTTGACCACTTGCTCTTACCCGCTTAACACCATCCCAGAAGCAGTAAACCAGATAATAGTGACAGGCTTCCTCTGTTCCCAACAAACCAGGGGTGTGTGTCTCCAAGCCAGAGTGCTCTAATATTCTGGTGTGACTTTTACTGTGCTAAAATCAAGACATGTTTGAAAAATAATTAGCAGTTATTTTATATAAAAAGACCCAGTGTCAATAATTATTTTTTTAACTTTTATTTAATGAATATAAATTTCCAAAGTACAGAATATGGATTACAATGGCTTCCCCCCATGACGTCCCTCCAACCTGCAACCCTTCCCTTATCCACTCCCTCTCCCCTTCCATTCACATCAAGATTCTTTTTTGATTATCTTTATATACAGAAGATCAGTTTAGCATACATTAAGTAAAGATTTCAACAGTCTGCTCCCACACAGAAACATAAAGTGAAAAATACTGTTTGAGTACTAGTTATAGCATTAAATCTCAATGTACAGCACACTAAGGAATAATTAATTTAGTTGTGCCCGTATAGCAGATTAAGTGAAGGAAAATCAAAGCAAACCAAAAATATTCATCTAAACTTCTTATCTGTAGGTCAGTAGGATGACATGTGGCAATGCCGAGTAGTCAGCATCATAGAGACAGGACACACTCAGGCTGCACGAAACAGCTCCAGGAGTTGGGGTCGACGTCTATCTTCCTCCTTTCAATGGAATTTTCCAGTATGCCTCAAAGTAAGAGATGCTTTGGTTGTATTTTTACTTTATCTAAGTATATAACTAGGGAAGACTCATGAAGTACTCTGTATAAGCATTCCTTAATTCTTACATGAAGATGTACAGGTTTGACAGACTAAACACTACCTGTGTTGACTGTCTATATTTTGCTTTATTTACAAATAGTATGATCCATGCCTGACTGTAGGCCAATAAGAAGTCAAATTTCTAGACTGAAAGCCAAAGATAATTAAATTTTATGTCGATTTTTTTAAATTAAATTTTAAGCAAATCGAATGCACACATTAAACATTAGCTCATGCTTCTGGTCTCAACACTGCTATTGTCAAACTAGGCAAATGGGAAATAATTTGTCTGCTAGCTTGTTTCTTCATCTGTAAAAATGAGGGTCCGCACTAGAACTGGCCTGGACTAGAGGTGTCCAGATGTTTGAAAGCAGTGTGTCTCTTTCACCAAGTAAAACTCCATAAAGCATAAACCCAAGTCACACAGAAAAGGTCATGCCCTTCCTTCTACTTCAGCCATGAATTCCACCTCTTGACTCTGGAAAACACTTAGACGACAGCTACCATTCCAAGGACAAGGAGACCAACTGATCTCTGCAGTGTTGGCCCAGCTCTACAGCCCATAATTCCAGCATTACAGAACACAATACATTTTGTGAAACTCATTATAAAGTACCTCACTACACCTTATATTCAGCTCCATGCTCTGCATGGGAAGGAGGGGTGTCACGCTTGCTACCAGAGAGAGGAGAAAGCTGATCTTGGAGAGACTAAAGAGATCACCAAACCTGCAGGGAATCAGGGTTCACACTAAGATTAGAAGCCAGACTCTCTAAGTATTGTTTCATATTCAATAACCTTTCTTGCATGGCACACTGCTATAGGTTTTATTGCTTTCTATTTTTGAAAGTTTCAATTAAGTCTCTCAAATTTTAACTATAAGAAAGAAGAAAAAAATTTTCTGAAGTTAATAAACAAATTGTCGCTCCCCCTCTTTGTGGAGGAACGACACAGGACCCTCCGCTGTTCTTTCGTCTGCTCGGCCCTCCCCGGGTTTGCTGCTGGTTCTTCCCGGGTTGGCTACCGTCCCTTCCACCTCCGTGGAAGGGCGGTTCCCCCTAGCCACTTTCCCCACTTCCGCAGGAGAGTGGCACACCGCCGGCCGGCTCTCTCGGGGGCTGCACAGGTGTTCCTCTTAGATGTTCCTGGTGCATGTTGTCTCTCTCCTCCTTTACAGTCCTCTTCCACCAATCCCAACTCTGCTACCCACACGCCGAGTATGCTGCTCTCCTCCAATCAGGAGCAGGTCCTACAGTTTATTGGTTGAACTGGAGGCAGCTGTGTAGAAGCTGTTTCTCCCTTCTCAGTGCCATATTGTGGGAGAGCAGATGCATAGAATAAGTCTTAATTCCAATAACTTAGTCTAGTCCGGGTTGCTCCCCACACAAATGATCAACTCCAATAGGCTGAATGTGGTCATTGAACTCTTCAGTACTTGTTGTCACACCAAAATACACTAGTTGCTAGGATGAATGATTCTCATCATCTTCATATGGTTTTAATTCAGAGATATCAGTTT